AGGGATTAAAATCGGATTAAAATTTCTATTTTCAATATTGCCGTTATTGTTGACTTTTATTAGACGAGTGAGACCCAATAACGGTCATATTTTCAATTTTAATTGGATTTTAATCCCTCCCGAATGGGGCCTTAATCTTCTTCTCATTTGATATTTGAATTGATCATTATTTTGCGACCATATGATTTTGGCAGCGTATTGAACCATATGAAATTGGTAGTGCTGCTCATTTGAATGCCAACTTAGAGCGTAAATCTAATTCCGGTGGTTCAACAATACTTACTGAGAACACTATTAAGGGTAACTTGGGCAGGCTTTCCATTTCACAAAATTCTGATACTGCGAAGGAAACTAGACCTCTTGCAAGGCTTTCGGTCTCACAGAATTCAGATCTGAATAGGGACTCTAAATCTCTTGCACGTAATTCTTTACGATGTCTCCTTGTTTTGGATTTGTGGTTAATTTAGTAACCTCTTTTTCAGATTATATATATTCTTTTTCAGACTTTTTTAACAACATGATTTGAGTATTTTATCCTTTTGTCTGTCCATTTCCGTCTCTACTTAATTTGGTTCTTAAGATGTATTAACGTTGTTGTATGTACTGCATGAAGCTGCTGTAAGTGTCCCTGCAACTCCACAAAGGGGAAATTTCAGTGTTGTTCCAAGAACCACTCAAATCAATCCAATGGCAGTTTCCAATGTGACAGGCCCCAAGAGGCATCCTGTAAAGGTCCAGTCAACACCCAATATTTCAGTATTCAATAGATCAGAAGTTATACCTGTGGTTGTGCCTAGAAATAATCCAAGAATAGAGCAGGCTGCTGAACAAAGAAAAGAAGGAGCTCCACTAAGAACACTGCCACTATCTATGCAGTCAAAAACGTCTGATGTTCGAAAATTTTCATCTGTGAGAGATGACTTCGAGAGGCCTACTATTTCTTCACTGTCTGAAAGTGAGGACCCAAGGGCTATTGATTCCAGTGAGGTTTCAGATAGGAGTACCTTTACTGAAGTTAGGAGCTCAACTATTGGGGTTCCTGCAACTGATAGAAATGCCAAGGATGATAAGTGTATGCTTTCTGGAGAAGTTGAAATAAATGCATCGGTCGATGTTCTTGCCACTTGCCAGCGTGAAAGTTGTACGTATTCCTTTTCAGCACATCCTTCTCCTTGTGTGACCCACGTTATGAATATGTGCTACATCTTGTCTTATCCAGCGTTGTCCTTCCAATCACTTTATGATTATGTGTTACATCTTGTTAAGTGCAGTGGTGATGGTGCCACATAAAGCCTCGTCAAGGTTCATTATGAAACTCTTTTTATTATGGACCATCGAAGCTACAATGAGGCCTTATTCGGCACAGGTCCAAGTACATGGAATTTCTTGTTGGAATCAATGAGTTTTTTTGGATTTGGTTGCTAATACTAATGTCGATTATGTCCAACTAATTGTCTCTCTCTTTGTTACCTGTTCATGCTGTATTATTAACTGTTTGTCATTGAGTTTTTTTAATTGTTAATCTACATATATCTTTGAATATAAATTGTTTGCTTTATTTGTTTTGTTAATCAGTTTTCTTTTTGGTTGCAGATGAATTTCGTGGGAACAACATTCATGGGGATACCAGTCTCATGGAAAGTAAAAGAGGAGGTATAACTATCTTTTCTAATAGACGCTTTAGCAAGCAATTAATGATCCTTTTCTTAATGAACACGGCTATTTGTTCTGAACCAAATTTAGGTAGAACACGACTTGCTGCAAATTGGGAGAAGAAAGACAGAATATCTAACCATGCAGTTCTTGCTTCAAGCACACTCTCTCGAAACTTACCTTCTGTAAGTAAACTCTTACTTTGTAACGTTGATTCTGGGTTTTATTCTCTTCTATTTTCATAACAGTATTTCTAATGTGGCTGGTAAAGTAACGAGTAGTTCATTCAAGTGCCTACTTTAATTATGCTTATATGATTAATTTGACAAATGATGTTTTATTCTTTTTTACCTTCAATTCTAAATGTGGACTTTTCAAGACATGACCACGTATACAGCTGCAACATATGGGGGGTAGGGAGGAAGAAGCTGAAGTATTTTTTGCATGTCTAATGCGTAAAATCTGTAGGAGAGAAAGGGGACGAGAATTTATAAGGAAAAGAAAAAAAAAAGAAATTGGACTGGGGGTAAGCAGATGAATACTATCTGTAGTCATTGTTGAAAGGAGGAATGAGAGATCTTCCTTGGTCTTTTGTGGCTTGGTGCTTGACTTTTGCGCCTTCCTGACAAGATTTAACGGAGATCATTTTTTCTTGAATTTTACTTGGGAGCTGATTGGCAATTTTGCTTTTTAAAAAAAAAGGTTTATTAACACATTATTTATGAAATTGTAATTCTCCATAATGCTTTGTGATTTCTTTTTCTATTTTTTTAGTATCGTAAGCTTATGCTTTTAACCCCAAGTATGCAGTTATTTCAATGCAAAATTTTAGCCGATACCATACATTTTACGAAAATATGCATTTATGTGGGTGGCAGATGTGTAAGCTGACTTTATGTTCAAATGTATACTTACATTGTATCTTGAACCTTCTGTTCTGTGATAATTGCTTTAAGAATTTGTCAAGTCCATTTCAAGTCACCCTAATAATATTTCTTAATTTTTCAGTATTTAAATTCTGTCTCGTGTAATATAAGTTAGTAAGTATTAGCACTTTCTCTACCTTACTCTCCATGTTATGAATCATTCATGTGTTTTATCTTCATGTCTACAATGACAGAGAGGCTATCCTTCAACAGGCGAAAATGAGTCAGTTTCAGCTAGTGAGGAGAATGCTATTGCTGACCTGATGGAACAGCACGAACAATTTGTTGGCTCAATGCAATCTCGTTTAGCCAAACTACAGGTACCTCTTGTGGTCTTTATTTCATAACCTTGTTCTTAGATTCATCATGCTGCTGTACATCTACACTCTTTTGAAATAGAGAATCTATTTGATTTGTTCAGAAAGATCCGTGCACACGGATCTTGGGATTATCCTCAGTCCAACAAGTTACTTTTCAGGTCAAAATAGTATTGTGTACAAAGATCAAGTCCCCTTTCCGTAAATTATTATAGTCACACAAGATTATTTTGTGAAACTCAGCATGAGGAAAAATGAACTCTCATGTTACTCTGGGTTAGTTAAAAATTTAGGAAGCCAAACTGATTATACAATTACAAGTGGCAAACCCAAAGGGCACAATGTGTCACCTACAATGTTGGCATGTTTCAGCAAAAAATAACAATATTCCAATCTGCAACATCAGTTTAAAATATCATCTTAGAAGGAATGAATGGCAGATGCAAGTTCCACTCGCTACACAACCGTTAAGTGATGTGGAAAGAAGTAATTTACCCAAGGAGGCTTGCTTCTAACAAGAGAGTATGATTATATTTTGAGGCATCAGTATAAACAATGGCGTCAATGCATGATGAGAAGTGAACTTCGCTAATTGCTTATCCTTGAAAAATGAACTTCACTATCTAAATGGTTCGACTCAAGGCCATGGTGACGATGACAATTGGCTTGGAACTTGAGCAAAGTGACTCTTGAAGAAATTCCTCACATTTTCTTTCCATTTGTAGATTGAGATATGAAACATTGTCTGAAATAGAATTCATAAGATACTTGTCAGAGTTAATTTGTTTTGGAAAAAGCATAATTCAGATGCTCATTGCTGCTGATAATGCATGCTGCATTCTCATGTTCAGTTTTGCTTCTCATTTACCTGATGAGTGTAATAGCAGGGTGAATCATTATTGTTGTGTAGTCATGGGTTGCTCATGTACTTTTTCTTCATTATGGTAGTCAGGAGGGCAGGACTAGTGTGGGTGTGGTTTGGTTGATACCATTTTCTTAATTATAATTATAAGCCCCTGTTTGGCTTGGATTAAAATTTAGATATTAAAATCTTAGTTAAAGTTAACAATTAATTTTAACCACATATTTTATGGGACATACAACTTTTCAACCACACATTTTGTCAATTTTTATCAAAATTTACTAAAACTAATTTTAATCCACACCAAACGGGATAATTGTGGTGTTGAATACTGTTATGAAAGAAGATATGGATGTCCTCAATCAAATGAACAACCCAATAATCCAATATAATTGAGGACCAATGCAACAAATATTGCTGGAAGTTTAAAAGCATTTAATACTAAAAGGGGGGAGTCACACTTGTGTTTGCCCTTGGTACTTTACATTTTTGAATCAACTTCTGTGCATTATATCTGTAAGGTGTATGTTTAAAGAAATTGTCCCTATTAAGGCCATGTTTGGTAGAAATTACAATCTAAATTTTAATTTAAATCAAAGTCAACAATTAATTTTAAACACATTTTATGGGTCCCACGACTTTTCCACCACATATTTCATCAATTTTTATGAAAATCTACTCAAATGGGTTAAAGTTTTTAATTATTATTTTTTCAAGGAAACTGGTTTCTTTTAGTATTGAGAATGTGATTTGAATTTAGCTACAGAACCGTTTAATCAGATTTTGTCTTTTTGCCAGGTAGTCCACAATTACTGGCAACGGCATGATATCAAAGGGGCCCTTAATGCAATGGAGAAAATGGCTGATCGTTGCGTAAGTGTTGTATTCCTGATTCTGTATGTGGGAAGAAAGAGCAGTTTATTTTTCCCCTATTTCACCAATAGCAATACTAATGTAATGTAAAATTTCATATTTTCAATGCAAATGAAATCTCAATCTCATTTTCTTCATAATGTTCTTCGGAATGTAGGTGATTGCTGATGTAATGTGCCTTCTAGCAGAAAAAACTGACATTGTCACATTAGATATTTGCACGTGTCTTTTGCCACTGCTCTCAGGACTACTTGATAGTGAACTAGATAGGTAAACAAAACTTCTACATAATTCTTTAACACCTCTGATATTTGCATCCATTGAATGCTGTTTGTGGAGGATATTTGTAGCTGAGGTGATAATCAGCTCAACAAGCTGGTTTCCTGGCAAAGCTAATTATTGTTCAATGAGATTTAGATATTCTATGATAAATATTGTTCTAGTGAACTAGAAGCTCCAGTTTGATTCCTAACCTGTATGTTTTATATACCTATCCCATTTTACCTTGTGAAACATGTTATCAGATATTCAAATGTGGAAATAAAATTCCCAAGATGAAGCCACGTGTCTGTTTTTCTGATAAGAACATTATCCGTAGTTTCCTGGTAAGAAATACCTTGGAAGAGGTTAAGTCCCATTTCTAGGCGTGGCATCTTCCTTAGGGTCCGTTTGATTGTAAGAATAGAATTTGGGTGGAAAGGAAATGAATTCTATGGAATCGAATTGCCTAGAACTTGTTTTACTGAGAATTGTCAATTAATTGTGTTTGATTGATAAAAATATTGAAATTTTGGATCTTTTGGTGTTCGTTTGGCTTTATTTTCCATGAAAATTATCCATTAAAGGGATATAATTTGTTATAATTGGGGATATAATTTGTTTCTATTATCAAACACTCTAAAAAGTGGAAAATGGCAAAAAGTTTTCCATCTTCCATGGAAAACTTACCCTATCAAACAGGGCCTTAGTTTGTTTAGGGATACTCTCATATTTTCGCTAGTAACCCCTTTACTTTCAAGAGTCATTTAGTTTGCTCATTGGCAATTTTTTTAGCTTAAGAGGTTGGGGTAATTGATGCAGTAATATACTATGGTGATTCTTGCTTGACCAATGACCAGTTTTCTTTTTCTCAATTGTTAAAAACCAACACTAGCTGGTGCCTTTCATGTCAAATCTAATGGACTGTTCATCATAGGCATAAAGATATTTCTCTGGAGATGCTGATTAAACTGGTCAGAGTATTTGGCTCGGTGATCTATTCTTCATTGTCTGCACAATCATCTGTTGGTGTGGATATTGAGGCAGAGCAAAGGTTTGATTTATTTTTCCCTAGCTATATTACTCAGTTGATTTTATAATTTTCCCCTGAATTCTATTTACTCTCATCAAAAGGCTGGAACGTTGCAACATGTGCTTTGTGGAACTCGAGAAAGTCAAGCGTTGCCTGCCCCTCCTTACCAGGTGTGTGTGCTTTTCATCATTTGCTGCTTTCATTTGGGGACAAAGATTATATTGATTCGATATCTGTTTGGGTTGTGTTTTGTAGAAGAGGGGGTTCAATTGCCAAGTCTGCACAGGAGCTGAATCTAGCACTTAAGGAACTTCAGTGAATGAATGAGAGACATACTATGATACTACTACTAGGGACTGCAAATTGGGAGCTAGTAGTCCTGTGTGTATATTAGCATCAAGTGGGATTGTTAACTAATTCATTCATTTTTAACTGAAAGTTGATAGCCGAGGGACAATCCAACTCACTTGTTGTCATCGAACAATTACCGCACCTAAAGGTGGCTGGGTGGAGGTGAATCTGTCTCACCACGTTCTTGTCTAACCCATCCCAAATGTCTACTTATTGATTTGTAACTGTTGGTTTCTTCGCAAAAGATGTTGATTGATGATATTAATTATGTAACAATACAAATGTGTCCATAGCTTTTTCAAATGATTGAAGTGTCGTGATGTAGTTGCACATGTGCTAGAGTTTAAAGCACAGAGCAATGGAATTTACTTGTATTTTGATCGGATGATGAAAGTTCAGAGGAATCAAAACAGGCATTCTATTCCATTTCTTATAATGCTTTTTGTAAGATATTATATCATCTTGCTGACTATAAGATGTTGGGCATATAGCCTTTTCCAAGAGAGAAATATGTCGGGTTTCCCTCCCTGTTGTGTGCCTAGATGTTGGTCATGTTGAATCGTACGGGAATCTCTAACAGCTTCATATTATGGGGACTCCGTCGTGTTGGATAATGGATCTTCCATGCCAAGTCTACTTCTGTCACCTTGATGCTCGTGGCTGTATTTTGAGGGTCTTGAGGGTCCACTTCGAAGTGATGTTCGTCCCCCTATTGATCTTCAGCTTTGCCATGGGAACCAAGGTTTGTCATTGTCTTTGGCTTTTATTCTGTCCCTTGGTGTTTGGTTAACATTAATCTATTTTTTATTCACATATTTCGAGAAATTCATCAGTTTTATTCACTTCGATCATTGAGTTCTTGTACAAAATGGATAATCTTTCGTCCTTTTGTCTCTTATGCTTTTCCCATTATATATCAACAATTTCTTAGATTTTGAGGGCCTATTTGCACTTCTTGTAAAATTTGATTTAGCCCATGTTTGGTCTGAATTAAAATTAGATTTTAATCTAAGTTAAAGTCAAACAATCAATATTAATCACATCGTTTATGGGTCCAACAACTTTTTAACCACACATTTCAAAAATTTCTATCACAATCTATTAAAAATCTAATTTTAACATCCACCAAACACCCTTTTAATTTTAAATCATTTTGAAATAATAAGAAAACAAGAAAAATCATGATTTTTGAGAATGACCGAATTTTTTGATCTTAGCTTGAAAATCTCACCCAACCTAACTCTTTTTTTCACTCTTGTCAATTGATGAAAATTGCTTAATTGACAACTATACTGCAATGGATCTTCCATACAATTACCTTGTGACATGTTAATTTATCATTACTCAACATTTGAAGCGTTAAAATT